GTTTACCCTTATCACTTAAAGGGAAGTCTGATCCAAATATGATTTGGATCAACAACTCCTAATGGGATTAGGATGATCCCTTTAAGGTTATAAAAGGAGGAGGGGGCGGCAGCCTTTAGAAAACACAAGAACATCATATCACTGCAAGTCTTTAGAGCTGAAATCACAGAAGAGAGAATTCAGCATACTTGCGAAAATTCTCTCTTGCCGCCGCCTCAATTGCCAGTTCGACCTCCACTTCAGTAGGAGAAATCAAGATTCGAACTTAATATCAGTTCCTTGTGAAAGGACTGTTAGGAAGCTGTGCTCACGTGCCATCCTGCTATTTCTTGCGAAGGACTCGGTTCTTGGAGAGAACACTGCTGATTCTGCTCCATCCTACACTGCGCCATCTTCAGTGGGAGTAGTCTTTGGATCCTTCCTTGGGCATGAACACTTTCATTGGGAGATATTATTTCTCTGTATCAGGTATAATCCTCTCCTATTGCTTTTGTTCAGATCTGGTTCGGATTATGGTTCAAGATTGATCATTGAAAATATGATTTTCTAAATAGGGAATGCGATTCCCAGTTGAAGGGAGAGAAATTTTCTTGAAATTCGCCCACCTTATTCCGCAAGATTTGGGCATCCATACGATGGATCTCTCATCCCATACACCAGTGCCAAAGAAATTTGCAATGACTAACTCATGGTGCATCAGTTAGTACGTTCTTTGGCTGTTTGCAAGGGACGCTTCGGGTCAAATTCCATTGTCACCAGAGTTGGGAGGTTATGGGTATGTTAACTCTATTGTATAACCTCAGGAAGAACAAGAAAAAGAAAAAAAAAAGGAAAAAAGTCTATATGGACTGCCAAAGGGGTGGATGATACCACCAGAAACCAACATCAAATAGACCTAATTCCTACCCATGCACTAAATGGCCAAAAAAAAAAAACACAGTGAGCTTTGATCTTAGGCCCCGTTTGCTATTCAGAAAGTTATATGGGTAAATGCACTTACTCGAGTAAGCAAGAAATACTTACCCAGGTAAGTGCATTTACCCATATTCTTTTATTTCTCATGTAAATAAGAGAATGATCATTTTAACCATAAAAAGCCATTCTTAAAAGGGACAATTTTGTCCCATTCAAGTGTTTGGCAACTTCCCCTCAAGTGGGAAAGTAACTCAGGGAAACTAAATTTTTCATAAACCTTACACAAATCTGAAAAAAGAATATGGGTGTCTTGCTCAATGGGACCAAAATCCTATTGGCCAATATCCCCCCTTGCAAAATCCAATAGAAAAGAAGAATAGGCCCTTAAGCATAGCAACCATGTCGAAAAATCTGATTAGGATATATCAAAAAGCTTGTCAACAAATGATATGAGTAGAACTCTTAGGGGGCATATGTTTTAATAGAGTTTGAGAGGGGGGAAAGTTGGTCAATGGGATTTTGGTACCCATTGACCAAGAAAACCATGTTCTTTTTTTCAGATTTATGTGCGGACTTGAGAAAATTAATTTTCCTGGGTATCACTTACCCATATCTCTCATGTGAATAAGTAACTTTCCCACCCGAGGTGAAAGTTGCCAACACTTGAATGGGACAAAATTGCCCCTTTCAATAATGGACTTTTATAGTTAAAATGGTCATTGCCTTATTTACCTAGCAAATAAAAGAACATGGATAAATGCAGTTACCCGAACAAGTATTTCCTAGGAACCACATACCCGGATAAGTGCATTTACTCAGATAAATAACTTAACAGAAAGCAAATAGTGCCTAAATGATTTGCCAATCACATATGCAGATAAAACAAATCTGCACTTACTAATTAGAGTAGAAGCTCCTTGTAATTATACACCCATTGGCCATACCACGGAGAATATGTGGTTCCAAGGAATGGATCACACGCCTCCGATTTGGCATCTGACTATTCCTGGCAAAAAAGTTGACCAAACCCGTGAATCCAACTCAACCCAACCCAGGGTCTCACATTTAGCTACTCGAATGTGAGAATGACCCAATCCGACCCAACCCATAAAAAAACTGGGTTAGGTCATGGGTCAACCCATTGATCCGGTTGTCAAGTCTAATTGGGATTATTTATGCATTGTTAGAAGTTTCCACTCTTTTTTTTTTTTTCTATTTAGTCTTTACTCTTTAAATTGTTAAATGTTCAATTTTTTTATTTTATATTTGGAATTTTAAGGTTAGTTCCTTTAATTTTGGTATTTTTTATGTAGTTTTTCTTTATTTTTTTAATTTCAGTTATTTTTTGGGATGACTCGAATTAACCCATGGGTCAACCCTAACTTGAACATTTAAAGTTAGGGTCTAGCATTTGATAATCCAACCTAAAACTCAATCCAACCCGAGATCAACCCGAAATGTTTTAACCCAACCCAATTGCGAGGTATACATCTGACCACTATAACATGGTTGATCATTAGTTCATTACTATTTAAATTGCTGCTTCAACGGGAAATACATGTCTATGGTAACATATCAAATATAACGACTGAGAACTTGGCCCAGCTTGGCAAATAGGGTTTACGGGCCCAACTTCTGGGGTATAGGGCGGTTATAATGAGACCAATTAGAGATGGTTTGTCTTTAACCAATGGTAGGCGTTAGGTCTACATCTAAATACTGTAATCAGGTCGCCTTCGGATCCAATGTATATAAATTAGACGCATAATATATCATACGATACGAGAAAGGCTTAGTGAAAATGTGAAAACTTTCTATTATTATTCTATTATATTCTATTATTGGTTGTTCACACCATCAGTACTGTTCAAGTACTATATCTCCCTTCACATTCAGTGTTCATCATGTTGTACTACGTACTACTTGCGAGGATATAAGTCGCTATTTTGTAGTTTATCTGAAGACCAGGGACTGGACGACCTTGAAGAAGTATCCCAGTCACTTGCCTGCTTCTCGTGCTCTCTTTGATGTTGTTTGGGAATCTGCTTGCCCCATTGGAGAAATCCAGGTGGTGATGGAAATGGAAGAGTGACAGAGTAGTTAATGAGCATGACAACAACAGATGGCATGGTGGGTCTATCAGCTGGATTTTCTTGTACACATAACATCCCAATGTGGATGCACCTTGTATCTTCATCTATGGAATAGCTATTACTCAATGTTGGATCAATCAACTTTAAAGGACTTCCTTCGTTCCAAAGTTTCCAAGCCTGCACCACCCCAATGTGAATTGAATGTGTTTTATTCATCAATCGCATTTCATCAATCACATTTCATGTTTTTCTTCTCATATATATAACATTGCTGTTAATTAAGGGTTAATTTCTTACAAGCATGGGATACCTACTAGCTACATGATATTATCATCAGGATTTTATAAAGATAAATATTAGATGAATGCTACTAAATACCAAGCTCGGGACGGGTTTGGTAGGTTATCTTCTTATCTGCAGGTAACAAGTACTGGTTCATATAAAATTTGAATGTACTGGTCTATTCTCAATTTACTATCTACTCACATTCGCAGTGATTTCCTTCTGGTGTCAGGATACCCGAAGCAATCTTTATGAATCGATTGACCTGATCGATTCATTACTGTATTGCCATTACCATAACTTCTGTTACGCTTAGCTTCTATTGGCAATTTGGCGTTTCTAAACCTAGGGATTAATGCAGGGTAAATCCCCCCATCTTCACTGATTTTTTTGTCGTATAGGGGGATAAAAGTTGAAAGACAATCCCCTAAAAGTCAAGGGGTGATCTGGGGTTTCTGAGATGGTGAGACCAGGTTTTGTCAACAATTAAAAAAAAGGAAAAAAAAAATATCCATATATGCTCTATCTGATACTTGGTTCTCCTTTGGAAGATTAGCATAATTCAACCAAGACCTGGGGTAGAGTGAAGTACTTGGTGCAAAGACCTACGGAAGGCAGTCCCTACAAAAATGGGATCATGGATAACTGAGGAGGTAAAGAAGTTATGTTCTAGCAAGAAACAACAGACTACCACGCACTTTCTTGAGTGACCTTGTCCAAGGGAAGTCTAGTTTTGGTTCATCCCTCAATCTAAGGTTAAATCAAGGCACTGAGAACAATTTCTGGAACTCCATCTGTAAGAATTGCCAACCAAAGAAGCCGGTCAAACAAGTGTTAGCTGGGCTTCATTTGAATTGCATTTAATTTAGACCAGTATGGGATGGTAGATACAATAAATGCTTCTGCAATGTAACGCCAGATCCAAGGTTAAGTAACTAGATAAAATTTCAAGCTATTGGCTAGAGAAACAAAGAGTAGTGTTGAAGAAATATTTCTGGGAGCTTTATCTCAACCTTTAAATGCATTAATGCATTTATGATTGCTATAAGCCCTTGATGGATTAGAAACAATCTGTGTACCTGCAAGGGTATGTTGACGTACATCTGTCCCTCTTCAGAGCCACATTGGCAGGAGCCTTATGCACTGGGCTTGTCTCAGAATGTAATTTCTATGGTCATATCACCTCTTTCATTAAAGTATTTTCATCTAATAGACAGGTCTAAATAATATGGTATCAATTCACATGATTTTCTTAGATCCCAAATTGCACTGAATTGCTGAAATAGAATGTCAATGACAACACCATCATATCATACCTGCATTATCGTGGAGATAACTCGGTAATTGATGCTTCATTTACAGACAATGGTTTCGATTCACTTGTGGACTGTCTTGACTCGGATGTAGATGAATCATACCCTCTGGGAGGCCTATAATTATAAGGCTTCATTCTGCTAGGCACAGAGAAGGTAGGTGAAGATAACGGATTGAGAGTGGCAGAGGAGCTACTAAGCATTAGAACTACTGACGCCATGGTCGGCCTATTAGTCACATGTTCTTGTACACATAACAACCCAATCTGAATACATCTCAAGACCTCCTCTCTTGAATAACCATCACCAAGAGCTGGATCAACCAAATTTATTGCTGTCCCTTCCGTCCAGTGTCTCCATGCCTACAAAAATTCATTAATAAAACTCGCTATGACACATATCTTGAGTCCGGACATAATTAGATAAGAGAAAAAGACTTTAAACTAATAGTTGGTTTTGGTCAATTCCTTTCTGCCTTCATTTCCTAGTTCCATGGTGCAATATTAAAGCCAACTTAACCACAAATGAAGTGCATAAATCTAAATATTCATACTTACATATCTAACAAGGTCCCCAGTGCCATCTTGCTGACAGAATTCAGTGTTCTTCTTCCCACTCACAATTTCTAGAAGTAGGATACCAAAACTGAAGACATCTGACTTAACTGAAAACTGCCCCCGCATTGCATATTCTGGAGCCATATATCCACTGCATACCATCCAATAAATGACAAAAGAAAACTTTATGAACTGTGTTGACAAGATCGAAATTTGGTAGCTTCAGCTTTTGGTGGTAGGATATGCTTAAACTTACAATGTCCCAACAATTCTATTTGTGTTGGCATGAGTTTGGTCCTGTACAAAGAGCCTTGCCATGCCAAAATCTGAAATTTTGGGATTCATCACCCTGTCTAATAAAATATTGCTAGCTTTGAGATCCCGATGAATAATCCTCAGTCTAGAATCTTCATGAAGATAAAGAAGCCCTCGAGCAATTCCTTCTATAATCTTATATCGTGTTCCCCAATCCAGTTCTGCACGTTTGATTGGATCTGGACATTTCATCCAAAAGTAAAGAAAAATAAAATTACTTCTTTGTCAGCACCTAATTTTGAAAGTACTTCATCATTGTGCAACTCTTGCCAACTGTGAATTATACACAACGGTCACATACATGTCCTTGCAAAATAATCAGTTGTCAAACAGAACTCTAATTCAAAATAAGGGAAATGAAGACAAACCAAATAGGAAGTGATTGAGGCTTGTATTTGGCACAAATTCATAGATTAGCAGCTTTTCTTCTCCTTCTATGCAGAAACCTAGGAGCCTTACAAGATTTCTGTGTTGTAACTTCGCCAATAGTAGAACCTCATTTTTAAATTCTAGTTCACCTTGTCCAGAATTTCTACAGAGCCTTTTCACAGCCACGTCTTGTCCATCCAAAAGCTTACCCTGAGGATTTATTAGAAGAAGAAGATACGTCAAATGAGATTAGATGGACAAAGATTGACGGTCATCTTCCGGAGAATAAATTTAGTGCATTTAATTTTATTGATATAATAGCGTTCTTACGGTATCGGCACCTTATAAACTGAACCAAATCCACCTTGTCCGAGCTTATTAGACTCAGAGAAGTTGTTTGTGGCAGCTCTTAGTTTCTCAAAGTTGAACTGCAAGGATTCCACACTTGAAATCTGATCCACATCTTCAGCACTTCTAATCTGATTTCCATCTTCTGTGAAAGTAACAGATAATAGAAATTTAAATCAAATAAGCAGCGCACATGCCAAACTGACGCAATCCCATAAAAGAAAAGCTTTCAAAGATGAGTTAGCAATATGACTGCAAGTGTACAATTTCTTTTGTATAGCAGGCCAGATTTGAAGCAGAGAGGACTAGTGTCCAGCTCCTTTGGGTTCATCATTGAAGTGCAATGGTGCTATTATTTTGTTCTCCCCCCACCTATAGTGAGGTCAAATTTGGGGAGTACAGCATTAGTTAATCTCTTACCTTCAGCCATTGCTGGAGTTTTATAATGAAAAAGATCACTCAGTAGTTAATTAAATTCATGAGAAACCTATTTTCAGTAGTTCTGAAGAATAAGTACGTAGTAAACCATAGTTACTCACCCTCAACTTTTTTCTTCTGCTTCCTCTTAAGTAAACAAAAACAGATGAAGATGAGAATTATAACAGCTGTAATTGATGGCATAACATAAAAAACAATTCTTCCTCCCTTCCCTGCATAAACAAAAGAACAGGTTGATCAGATTTTCATTACTCTGTAGCATCATTGTGCTATCCGTAAACAATGGATTAGAAAAGTTTCATAGCTATCTTTCGCAAAGTAAGGTACTGAAGTTTAATTTTGAACACACATGATACAGTGATCAAAATGTAAAACAGGGGTCAGACCTCTGTAACAAATAAAATGTCAAGGGTAAACCCTGATGTAATGGATTTCATAATCCTAGCCTAGGGTTAGAACTCTGATCGAGGTCGACAAAACAGAACTGACTGGATTTCATTGGCTTGGGAATCCTGGATCAGGACTGGATTGGGCTGAGTGAGGTAGATGGTATAAATTAACCCTGTTTAGTGATTGAAGCATCTGTCTAATTCGGACTTGGAAGAGGCTTTTGCTTAGCAGAATCATCTTGCTTTTTTTTTGTTTCTCTGCAGTGCTTATAAAACAAGAAATGTGATCAATTACCAACTCAACGAAGCCCGAAACACATTTGTCTTGGGTACTCTGCTACAAAAACCATGATTCAGAGTAACGGGATGTAATTCTTTGCTGATTCCTTCAACAACCAGAATCATGCTTGAAATTACTTTGCGCTGGGGGTGAAGTATGAGTCCAGGATCCAATTATCAGAAACTACAAAGATCATTTACATACCTTCTGTGGTTGTTGTGTTCGTTGGTGCTGACGGTGTAAGAGGTAAAGAAGGTGGTGGTGGTGGCGGTGATGCAGTAATATTTAACTGATAGAAAGGGTAGATCTCGAACCTAATGTTGCAACTCGGCCTGAGAACTCTTCCACCTTGTTTCCCGTCGCAACATATCGGAATATAACCGACAGCCCCTTCAAGGCATCTATTGCAGTCATTTTCTGATATATCGGGAGTGCACTGTGCTAGTCCGTATATACTCTGAAAGACTATGAATTTTGCTTCTCCGGTCGCGAACATGGCCGTAGAGGAGCCGAAGGCAGCCTGTCTCACGATACCGTTTATGAGACCTCCCAATATCCGGCTAAACTCGTCTGGGTTAGTTACATTGTTGACATTCCATAGATAAGTAGTTGGAGTTTCCTCCATGGTTGAGAAGATGGATCGGTTAGAGTAGCGCAACATACAGTCATCATACCATAAAATTGCCTCTTTGCTGGTAGGACAACGTTGTGGGACATCCCCAGTTGCGACCGTAATGCAGTTTCGACATTGTTCAGGGGTGACATCCCCTTTGCATAAAAAGAGACCATTGACTCTATCAGGATTCTGGCCGGCAGTGGCAGTATTGAATCTGTTGTCGACTGAAACATTAGAGGATATGGAAGTGAGGAGAAGGTTAAGGTTGGCCTGATATGTGCTGTTCCTAGTGTAATTTCCTCCCAAACAGAAGCGGTATCTGAAGGTGGTGGGTTGGGCAGTGCAGAGATTCGGGCATAGTAGAATGGAAGAGAGAAGGACGAACAGATTGGAGCAAAGCATTTCTTTTGTTTCATCAGTTTGAATTTGGTAGAGGAGGTGCGCATGTAGCAGTCAGCAGCCCCAGACCATTTAATTTGTGATTGATCTGATCAAAGATGCAATTTTGGGCTGTTTCGACTCTGTTCTTGTTACAGTGTCTGTCTTCTTCTCTCTGTGCCGGAGGATATTTGTCTCGTGTGCTGACCTTAATAAAGGTCCTTGATTTCGCGCGTTTCTCGGTAATGACGCGTGGTGGAGAAAATAGAAATTGATCAAAATTAAAGAAGACTGCCATGGATGATGGAAGCATAGAAGGATTGACTTGTTGTAGCCAAGGATGTTTCCTGGTAATTCTCCCTCCCTTTCTTCCAAACGGCTATGCATTTGAAGTGGTCAGCAGTTGACGTGGAACGGTGGAAGGCACATGGACTTGAAGTCAATTTGGAACTGGCCCAAATATGATATCATGGGAAAAGAAAAATACCAAAGTCAAGTACTCTGGTGTGGTAGCTGTGGAGGGCGAATCCAGTGAAGCCGTCGGTTCACACGGGGAGCGTGCACCCTTAGGAGGTGTGCACTTCACCCTTCTCGAATTCAGCAATTCCATTAAAGTTGAGTTTCGTTCACACTCCCATTAAGTGAGTCAATCCAGTTCAACTGGTTAAAAAAAAAAGATAAAATCAGATGAAATAAGTCTTTTTGCCTCTTGTTCACTCAAATTCTCCTTTCTTCCATTTTTATTTTCACCAAGCTCTAACGACGTAGAGTCAACTAGCAGTAAGCATTTTTTCTTCTCGTTCCCCTTCCAACCATGTTATTCCTCTTCCGTAATATCTTCCTCCTTTCTCTTCTTCTAGCAGGAGACTACCGGTAGCGATTTCACTGTTTCACTAAATTCCCACCTTCAACTTCATGATTCTCATTGTAGAGAATATCCTTTAAGAGGTATGATTCATATGGCCTGGTTCCCTCCCACCTTCTGTGTATACAATTAAATTTAACCGTTGGTCGTTTTGTGGAAAATGAATATAAGTTACTGTTCAACGCACAAGACAGGCAATAAATAACAGAGCACACTTTACTACTATTCACATTACATAAATTTAGTTCAATAAAAATCAAACATCAATCCATTTTTGCGGATCCGACCCCCACCCAAAATTCTAAAACTGGAAATCAATTACAGATAACACAGAAGTAGGCTATGGAACTTGAACCACAATCATGTTTTCCTCAAAGGTAAGTGGCACCTCTTCACCATCAATTAAACAAACTTTTGGTTTTTTTGATGCAAACAACCTCATCTCTCCAGTTTCCCTCACTCCAATTCGAATCGAGCTTGTCTCGTCATCCTACTCCAGTGATTGAATGACACCGCTAGTATTAAGCATGTCGACTAATCTAATAGGAGCAAATTGGATTTTGTTCAATAATTACTTTATCGGAGAAACTGTAAGAAGCTCGAAATTAAAAGGCTCCAATGAAATCTACATCTACTCCCATGACTTCAAGGGCATCAACTTCTTCGCCCAGAACATATAAACAACAAACACTTGTACCCCCTTCAATGGAAATCAGGTTCTTTCCGTTTTCCATTCAATATCATTTGGGTTCGTCGTAGCTGACACATCATGCGAAAACTCGAAGGCACAGTTGTTTCTTCGAGCTTGACAACACCAACCACCCGCTAGGTGATATGCCATCGGAATTGGAAGGCAATCGTTGTCGGAGCTTGGTGAAACAATGAAATCATTGCTGGTGGTCTCCTACCAAAAGAAAAGGACGAAGATATTAATGAAGATGAATAACATGGTTGAAAGAAAAAGGAGAAGAAAGGATGTTTATCGCCGGTTGACTACATGCCATTGGAGCTAAATGAAACAGTAAAGTCGCCGCTAGTTGTCTATTGCTAGAAGAAGAGAAAGGAAGAAGATATTAACAAAGAGGAATAACAGGGTTGGAAGGAGAATGAGAAGAAGGGATTCGGCTTATTCTTATCGGCAGTTGGCTCCATGCCGTCAGACTCGGTAAAATCATTCCCGGTGGTCTCTTGCTCTTGGGCTAGGGCTCGAGTGAACTGAAAATGAGGGAAGGGGAATTCAAACGAATGAGAAGAAAAAAATGCTCTTTATTGGTGGCTTTGTCTCTTTCCAACCAGTTGAACCAGATTGACTCACTTAATGGGAGCATGAAACAAACTTAACATTATCAGAATTGTTAGATTTGAAAAGGGCGACGTGTTACGAACAATTGCAAAGATAGATGCCCAAAAAATTGACCCTTCATTGACGGAGACAGCGAATATATACACGATTACTTCCTAAAACTCTCATGCACAAAATCTATCTAAATATGTACAATATCTCTATTACTCCCCCTCAAGTTGGAGCATATAGGTCACGTATGTTCAACTTGCGAAGAAGAAAATCGAACTGACATCTGCCAAGTGCCTTTGTCAAAATATCTGCCAACTGATTATAAGTTCGTACATGAACAATCTCAATAGTCCAGGCTTGCAAGACATCACGAACAAAGTGACAATCAACCTCTATATGTTTGATGCACTCATGAAACACCAGATTAGCTGCAATATAAATAGCGGCATGACTATCACAATGCAATCTCATAGGTCTGGGATGTTCCACGCCAAGGTCACATAGGACACTCTTCAACCAGTTCAGTTCACACATCGCGATAGCCAGGGACCTATACTCTGCTTCTACAGATGAACGTGAGACGGTATGTTGCTTTTTGGTTTTCTAGGAAATAGGAGACCGTCCAAGCATCACAAAGTACGTAGTCAAAGAGAGTCGTGTCAAAGGACAACTAGCTCAATCGGAGTCACAATAAGCATACAATCGGAGATCACTGTTAGCGCTCAAGATGATTCCCTGTCCTAGATTCCCTTTGAGGTATTGGACCACCCGAAGAGCTGCATCCCAATGTTCTTGTCGTGGCTGTTGCATAAATTGAGCCAATATGTGCACAGAATAGCAAAGCTCAAGTCGTGTTATGGTAAGATAGATTAATCTTCCTACTAAACGTCAATATTTTTCTGGGTCATCAAGCAACTTCCCGTCGGCCAGTGCAAGTCGATGATTTTGTTCCATGGGCAGATGAGCCGGTTTAGCTCCTAGCAATCCTGTTTCAAAAATAATATCTAGTGCATACTTTCGTTGACAGAGATAGATGCCCTCATCTCCTCTGGCGACTTCAATGCCAAGAAAATACTTTAACAACCCAAGATCCTTCAGGTGAAAGCACCGACTCAGATACTACTGAATTGATGTATCATCTCCCCATTGTTTCATCCCACAACAAGATCATCCACATATACCAAAACACAGAGTGTAACTCCTTCCTTATGGTAAGTGAATAAAGAATAATCTGAGTGTGATTGAGTAAATCCATACATCTTCAAGGCCGTGCCCAATTTGGAAAACCAGTTTCTGTGTATCTGTCATAATCCATACAAAAATTTCTGCAAGCGACATACCTTTCCTGAATGTATAGATGAAAAACCAGGCGGCAGTCTCATGTACACCTCTTTTGCCAGGTCACCATGCAAAAAGGCATTATGCACATCCATCTGATGAAGCTCCCACTTTCATGTTGCCGCTACAACAAAAAACAACAGAACAGTCACCATCTTTGCTACTGGAGCGAAAGTCTCATTATAATCTATCTCAGCCTTCTGATTATTCCCTAAAATCACTAATTTAGCCTTGTGTCTTTCGATCATTCCATCTGAGTTGTACTTGGTCTTGTACACCCATTTGCACCCAATCGCTTGCTTCCCGGGGGGCAACGTTTCAAGGGTCTAGGTGTCATTACGCTCAAGAGCTTCAATCTCCTCCATCATGGCTTGTCTCCAATGCGGCTCACGAATCGCTTCTAAAAAATGCACATCATCATTACAGACAGGTGGTTGCTCGATCATACCGGTGTTAAGAGATTTAGAGACAACAACCTTATAAGGAAAAATATGTTCAGAGAATACAACATCACGGGATACAAAGAAATCATTTGTATTTATGTCATAAAGTCTCCATCCTTTCTTACCGAAAGGGTACCCAACAAAAATGCACCTTCGACTTCGAGAACCAAACTTATCTTTGTCACGCCCTTGATAATGAGCATGACATAAACACCCAAAAACATGAATATGTTTGTAAGTTGGTTCCTTCCCAAACAACAATTCATATGGACTCTTTCCATCAAGTAGAGGACTTCGAGTACGATTAATCAGATATCCTGCAGTCAACACACATTCACCCCAAAAACTTACAGGTAAATTTTCCTGAAAACGCAGAGCACGCGCAACATTCAGAATATGGCGATGCTTGCGTTCCACCCTACCATTTTGCTGAGGTGTCCCAACACACGATGTTTGGTGAATGATGCCATGAGTATCACAATAATTGCTCAAGGCTATGAATTCTGACCCATTATCACTCCTTATCACCCGTACCTTATTGTCAAATTGAGTAATCACCATTGCACAAAATTTCACAATGTTATCACTAACTTCACTCCTTTCTGCCATCAAATAAATCCACACTGTCCATGAGTAATCATCAACAATGGTAAAAAAATATACAACATCACATGAAGCAGGAGTACGATATGGTCCCCAAACATCGCAATGAATCAAGGCAAAATGTGTAGAAGCTTTATTATTGCTTAAAGGAAACACATCACGGGTTTGTTTAGCTCTTAAACAAACATCGCATAACTCACTGTGTGTTTCTTGACTAGCAATTTTATTTTTAACATTAGGAAGCAAACTAACAACTCGTTTTGAGGGGTGTCCCATTTGCCTGTGCCATAGTTCATATGAATCCACCTTTGCCAATCTGCATGCACTAGCCCTTTCCACACAGCACCAAAGATAGACTCCTTCACGCTTCTCACCCACACCAATCACTGCCCTCGAAGTGGGGTCTTGCATTACACACATTTTGTCAGAAAACGTGACTGTACATTTTAATTCATCGATAAATTGAGACACAGATATCAAATTGCAATTCAAGTTGCGAACATATAAAACATGTTTTAAGATCAATCATTTCCCAAGCTGCACTTCTCCTTCTTGCAACACCATCATATTCTTTCCGTCAGGGAGTCCAACGGCACAAGGAGGGATTTCACACATATTCTT